TCCCACCCGATCCCAGGGGCCCGTCGAGACCTAACCCCCCCCAAATCAGGTAATAAAAGAAGCGTGCTTCCCCGAGAGCCCTCTGCCTGGGTGAGAGAGGCTCGCTTGTGGCAGTTATTTTAGGACCTATTTGTATATGTGTGTTGCCTCGATTTCTTTTCCTTTTCTTGTGGGGGGGGGGCGGCAGCGGCGGCGGCGAGGAAGAGGTTGTGGAAGAATAGAACCCTCCAGAGCTAATCAAGGATTTGCATCTACTAGAAATCCTTACGCCCAGGAGTGGGGCATCTACTTCCCCTTGCTGCTATTCTGTGTGGAAGCAAATTTAAAGTGGTACCAAGAAAAAAATTCAGTCAGACAAAGGAATTCGCCAGATTTTAATGTATACAGCTCTATCCCATCTCTATATGAGACTGTCTTTAAGGGTAGTTTTTTCAGAAAGTGTTTGAAAGGACGTGGGTTTTGTTTCAGAAATAAAATTCAAAAGAGTCTGCAGCCAGAGAGTGAACCCTCCTGGTTGGAGGGCTTTAGAACAGGAGGTTTTCTAAGTAGGTTATACCAGTAGTTTGAAAAGATAAATGCTTTTCCTTGGAAACAGGACGCAGAAAATTGCAAGGATCTGGTCCTTGAAAAAGGAGATTGCTTTTAAGTTGTTATTAAGATGCTAAACTCTAGGTGTAGGTAAAAGCAACAATACGGAGGAGAGGGGTTCCCAGGTGAGTATTTGGGTCCTCCGAGAAAAAAATGGTTTTCACATTTGCCTTCTACATTTTGTTTCATTGATTTTAGTCCCTTACATTTATGTAGTCTGACCCCAGATTTGTGTCTTTAAAACTCCTGTTAGTGTTTTCGGTAGTTTCCTCCTTTCTTCCTGTTCTGTAGGGACAGGTCGGGACCAGGGGTCAGGCGGTTGCTCTTCTGTTCTGGGCAACTCCATTCCCAGGCTGGCCACCAGGGGAAGCATACTGTTTTTTGGTTACCGTTGACCGTATCTTCATTTTGTAGGTCAAGTCTAGCCGCAGTAATATACAGAACATAAAGCTTGTCTCCAAGTTTCCCTCACATACTATTTTTAAAATTCAACTTGAGCAGACCTTTGAGAAAGCTGTTCCATTTTCAACACATTTTTGTTATGTATTTGGAAAGCTGTATTTAGATGTTTGAGCCTGAGGAAAAGGGCATGTTTGGTCACAGTACTTAGCTTTTCTAATCTCTCCATTGTCAGGAATGAACCTGCATCTTTAGAATTGTCCTCTTTGAAACGGCAAGTGTGATAGGGCGATAGGGTCATATTTTGAAGTCTTTGGACTTTTTGTGTGTGTGTGTGTGAGACACAGGATCTCACAATGTAATGCAGGCTGGACTAAAATTTGCTAGACTCAGCTTAAATGTTGAAATTTGCAATCCTTCCGCCTCGATGTCTTTGTACTGGTTTTGATTGTTGATGTGTTTTAGATCTTGCCTGTACTGTATGTCTCAGTGTGATTTTTTTTTTTTTTTTTTTGTCATGCTCTGGATTGAACCCAGGTCCTTACACAGGCCAGAAAAGCACTTTACCACTGAATTGCATCTTCCTGTCTCACTTTTTTTTTTCCTTTGAAAGATTTATTTAAATCTGTGTGTCTCTGGGTATGTGCATGGCATGTGGGTATGGTACCAGCAGAGAACTGAAGAAGGCAGCAGTTCCCCTGGAACTGGAGTAACAAACCCTGATGTGTGTGCTGCCACTAAACTCAGGTCTTCTGGAAGAGCAGCAAGTGGTTTTAACTTTGAGGCATATCTCCAGCCACCTGTCTTTTTTTAATGTGTATGAATGTTTGGCCTGCATGTGTGTAAGTGCACCAGTGTTGTGCAAAGTCCTCACAGAAGAGGGTGTCAGATTCTCTGGAACTGAAGTTATGGATGATTGTTAGCTGCCATGTGGGTGCTGGGAATTGAACCCAGGTCCTTTGGAAGAGCAGCCAGTGCTCTTAACCACTGAGCCTTTTCTCCAGTCCCTTCCTCCACCTCCTTTAAAGACAGGGTCTCCCTATAGCCCCAGCTGGTCTAGAACAGCCTGGTCTAGACCAGGCTGGCCTCAATCTTAAAGAGATCTGCCTGCCTCTGCCTCTGCCTTCTGAGTGCTGGCATTAAAGGTGTGTGTTTTTCTTTTTTTTGAGATAGAGTCTCACTGTGTAGCCTTCACTGGTCTGGAACTCACCTTGTAGACCAGGCTAGCCTGGAACTCACAGATCAACCTGCCTCTGCTGCCTGGCTCAGCTGTAGTCTTTGTTTTTTTTAATTTTTTTTAATATTATATTTTTATTTTATGTATATGAGTGTATTGCCTGCATTTAGGTAAGTGCACCCGTGTTGTACAATGCCTGTGGAGGACAGAAGAGGCCATCGGATCCCCTGGAACTGGGGTTATGGATAGTTGTTAGCTGCCATGCGGTGCTGGGATTCGAACCCGGGTCTTCTGAAAGAACAACCAGTGTTCTTAACTGCTGAGCCATCTCTCCAGCCCATTTTTAAATTTTTATTGTATATGTATGAGTGTTTTGCCTGCATGTTTGTAAGTGCACCATGTGCATGCAATGCCCAAAAGAGGCCAGAAGAGCGTGTTGGATCTCCCAGGAACTGAAGTTATAGACGTGAGTTGCCAGGTGGGTCCTTGGAACTGGTCCTCTATTAGAGTAGCAAGTGCATGTCTTATCCACTGCACCATCTCTCCAGTCCCTTGGCTATATTATTAAATCCTTTATGCCTCAGTTTTAAAAAGCATCTTGTTTTTTTCTTTTGCCAAAATTTGAGCAAACACAAAGCCTTTCTTTTGCTCTTCCCCTCCCTCCCTTTTTTTCCTCCCTCCCTCCCTCCTGTCTGTCCTTCTTTTAGATATGGTCTCCCTGTGTAATGCTGGCTTGCCTAGAGTTTGCAGTGATCCTCCTGGTTCTGTCTCTTGAGTGCTGGGATTACAAGCATGACCACCAGGCCTGGCCTAGAAAGCTTAACTAAAGTAGTAAAAATATGAAAATGGAAGAAATTCATTAAAAACTTTTTTCTTTTTTTTTTTGGTCTTTTTTTGAGTTAGGGTCTCCCTGTAGCCCCAGCTGTCTTGGAACTCACTATGTAGACCAGGCTGGCCCTGAACTCAGAGATCTGCCTGCCCCTGCCTCCTGAGTGCTGGGATTAAAGGCGTGCGCCACCATGGGTCGGCCATTAAAAACTTTTTTTGAGACAGGGTCTCTTTAGTCCAAGATGGCCCCAAACTCAGTGGCAATCTTCCTCCCCCAGCCTTCTAAGTGCTGGCACCGATGAGCCTGAGATGGTACCTTTTCAAGTCACATTTTACTTATTTTGTAGACCCCAGCTTGACCTTCATTCCAGAGTGGTTGGAACTAAGATCACCCGGTATTTACTGTGTAGTCCAAGGAGGATTTAATTCTGCCATCCTTCACACATAGCAAACAAGGCAGACAGAGCACCGTAGGACAGAGGTGCTCACTCAGTTCCTATCTGCTGAAGGCGGCCTAGGCAACAGGTAAAGCACGGCATAGTGTGGAGGTGAAATACCATCTGTTTACAATGAAAAAAAGTCCGGACCATTTAGGGTTAAGAACAAGCACCAAAAATAGCCCCCGCCCCTTTCACCTAGGTTTGCTCCTGCCTGTGCTGTCCAGGCTGTCCACACTGCCAGATTCTACCGTGCTGTCATCAGTTTCTCTTAGAATTCAGTACTGAAAGGAGTGAGGAGGAGAATTTTATTTCATCTCTCCTTTTTTTGATTCAACCTTAGCAGGCATCTCTTATTTTGAAAGGTATAGTGTTTCTCTATAAAAATAAGGTGAATGTTTTATCAGTCTTGCTGGTGTTAAGAGGGAGGTTCATGGCTTGCTTCTTTAAAACATGTTTTTTTACACTTATTGTGTGTCTATGTGTATGTGTATGTGTATATGCTTGCATGCATGTATGCCACAATATGGGTTTGGTAGCCAGAGAATAACTTTTTGGAGTGGGTTCTCTCCTTTTACTGTGTGGGTTCCAAGGATGGAACTCAAATCATTGGGCTTGGTTGCAAGTGCCTTTATCCACTGAGCGATCTTGTCAGCCCTTTTCTTAAACTGATAGTGCTGTGACCACCATTCCTGGTTTTATGTGGTGCTAGAGACCGAACACAGGGCTTTGTGTATGCTAGACAAGCACTCTGCCAACTGAGCTACAGCCCCAGCCCCTGGCCTGTATTTCTTTGGCCATTTGTTTGGTGCTCTTCGTTCTTTTAGCCAGAGGAGTACAGTGATAGGATGTTAAGGCTGACTGGAGTTGTTTTCTTAAGCAAGTTTCTATGTCAAGTTTATTCTGAGATGGTTTTTATTATCATAGTTTAGACATGCTAGAATTATAGCTTTTGTAGAAGAGGAAAAAAGCGAGGAGGGGCCGGTGCTGAGGATCGGATCTCATAGATGCTAGGCAAGTGCTCTACCCAGGCTGCAGACCCAGCCTAGAACTTCGTCATTATTTTTGAGATAGTCTTTTGATGTAGCCCAAGTTGTCCTTGACCTTGCCATCATCCCTTTGCTTCTGCCTCCAGAGTTTGTGGTTATCACTGACTTTGTCACGTC